GAGCTGCACCACCTGTCCTGGGAACGCCAAGGGCCCTGGCACCCCCTGCCAGACAGTGGCCTGGGCCAGCTGGTAGGTGATGGTGAAGGTTCCACAGAACTCTCTGGCAGCCAGGTGGGGAGGACTGCCGCCACCCTGCCCTGCTTCGTCTTGGGATCTAGCAAGGGGGACGTCATCACCCCTCTCCCCCCCCCGAAGGGATTGGCGTCCCCCAGCATCACCACTCGGTCCTTAGGGAGTAGCCCTCCACCCTGAGAAGTCGGAGAGCTGGTTGAGGAAGGCGGTGCTGTCGGGGATGTCAGGGATGTCATAGACATCAGGGACGGTGTCCTCGCTGTCCCCCAGCATTGCCACCACTGCTTGCTCCTTGGTGCAGATGCCCTCTGCCCTGACAGCAAAGGTGCCTGGTGGCCACAGAGCAGCCCAGGTGAGCTGGTTCTCTTGGAGGCCACCAAAGCAGCCTTCCTCTACCTCTGGTTTTGGTGAGATATGGAGCCGCACAGAGATGTTTCTCAGGCATCCAGGCCTGACAAGGGTTTCCCAGTGTCCCCGTGAGAGATCCTGCTCCTGGGAAGCACCTCCCCACAGAGCTGAGGCCATATCCAGCCCCCCGGAGCTGGGTACAGCTGCCCTGAGGGGTCTTGCAGGGAGGATGGGGTCATCTGCCTGGTGGCATTTCTGACATAGAAATGATGAGCTGAAGCCCCATGGCCATGGCTGGCTGGTTCAAAGTCTCCAAGTGCCTCAGCCTTTCTCCCCGGGAGTGTTTAGCACTTTTTCAGGGTGTGAAGATGGCTGCTGGTGATGTCCTGGTGGCTCTGTCTCACTCCCACTTCAAAGTTGTGATGTCTGAGATCCTGGGCCACCTGAAGGTCCTGGCAGAGATCTCCGGGGAGTTTGTGTTCAATTTTTTGATATCTTAGGGCTACAATGTGCTAGGGTTATGGGATGCTAGGGTTACAGGGTGCTAGTGTTACGGGATTCTAGGGTTATGCAGTGCTAGGGTAACAGTTTTCTAGGATTATATGCTAGTGTTACAGAGAGCTAGCGTTATTGGGTGCTAGGGTTATGGGATGCTAGGGTTCTGGGGTTGCAGTGTGCTAGGGTTATGGGGTGGTAGGGTTACGGGATACCAGAGTGTAAATGGGATAGGATTAAAGCCTGTTATTGTTAGGGACAGGGTCTGGGCTTTTTGGTCCTGGCTTCCTGGGGTTATGTTATTTTTGCCTATCTTGTGGTCTTTTGCAGGGGGGACTGTGTCCTATTTTAGCTTATTTTCCTTTTTAGGGTTTGGATCGGGGCCTCTGGTTTGTGTATGATGTGTCTTCTGGTTGTTTTTTTTCTGTGCTGGTGGTTTGTGTTGCATTTTCTGTCTTGTAACCATAATTTCCACTCTAATATGGCCTACTGTAGAGCTGTCCTTGCTGCTGAGGAGGTGAAGGGGACAATACTGCTGCAGCCAGAGGGTGTGGGTGGCTTTGTAGCTCCAGGGTTCAGCTGATGGGTCAGGAGCGCAGGCGAGGGGAGACAGCCCCGTGTCCTCCCTCGGGCAGGGTGTGGCAGATAAAGTGACTTGCCTTGATGTGGCCCTGGAGAGGGGAGGGAAGGCTTCAGCTTCAGCTTCTTCCTTCCTCTGTTTTGTGGCCCAGCAGAGCAGCTAGTGCTTTGAGGCAAAGACAAAGTGTGTGGGTACACAATGCACTGGCACGGACTGCTGGTAAGAGCGGATGTCCTGCCACTCTCAGGATGATGCCAATTCCTTTGGCATTAGTCTTCACAAAGAGAAGATACCCACACCTGCTGAAGAAGCAGGGCTCCTTCTTTGGGAAAAGTACAATGGCATGAATGGTAGCATAGCAATGGGGATGGGATGTGCCCAAGGAGTGGAGCTGTGCTGTGGGCAGGAGGAGATGCCAGGAGCTTACCAGCACCCTCAGATGTCCCCAGGATGCAGAGCACCCTGGGGTTAGGACTGCTAATTTGGGTCTGCTCAAGCAGTGCCATCCCTTGGGGCAGAGCACCACCTCTTCCATGCCCTCTGGAGCCTGAAGCACAGCTGTCCCAGGTTAACACTTGGTGCTGGCCTTCCTTTTCTCAGGATCAGGAGCATTTGAGTTGCCAGGGAAGAGACCAAGGGTCTGGTGTCTTCCCTCAAGCCTTGAAGGACTGAGAGGACAAAGAATGGTGACTAGTCAGCCACCTCTGTCATGCACTCATCCTGGTCATGCAGATGGAACAGCAGCAGGAGCAGGCTCTTGCACACCTCCTGCTTCATCTTCTTTTTTTCACTGCCCACCACAAACCCCATTGCATCTTGAAAGAGATGGACGGAGAGCTCCCGCAAGGCACTTGATTCCTGGTGGGAGGGAGGGGAGGAGGACCTCAGTCCCAGCTGCCCCAAGCCCATGGTGAGCAAAGGGCCAGCCTGGCTGATGTGGAGATGGACATGCCCAAGTCTGCCCTGAGCAGCTGCAGGCAGACCTGCAGCCCATGCAAAATGGCCCCAGGCAGCCCTGCTCCACAACGAGCAAGCTGTGTCCTGCAGGTCAGCCCAGGGGCTGCACACAGTGCCCAGCACGGGGGCTGGAGTCAGGAAAACCTCAGGAAAAACAAGTGATGCAATTGCTCATCACCCACCGACTGACACCCAGCTAGTCCCCGAGCAGCGATACCTGCCCCCCGGCCAACTCCCCCCAGCTTATATACTGAGCATGACATCATGCTAAACACTGCTTAGCAACAACTAAAACATCAGTGTGTTATCACATTATTCTCATGCTAAATCCAAAACACAGCACTATACCAGCTACTAGGAAGAAAATTAACTCTATCCCAGCTGAAACCAGGACAGTATCCACCCCTTATTCTACCTCATCTACATCATGCCCAGGTCCTACCCTTTCCAATACATTCCAATTAATCACCACCACTTTTCCAGTCTTTTAATATATACACACAGATATTATTCCCTTAGTCTATGGGCCATCCCTCAAAAATATCCGTTGAGTTCATTTAGTCCATGACTTTGGGCTCCATCTGTCATAACAGTCTTTCAGGGCAGGAGAGATGGTGTGTGGTGTTGGATTGTTGCATGCTGAAGCCAGTTCTGGTTCCATCACCACTGCGCTTTGCTCAGTTTCCTCAGAGTTCATTCTTCATTAATTTGGGTGATTCTTACTGTATACTGTTGATATGGCACATAGTAATCATTAAATTACCATAGAAGTGATGACATCCAGTATTATATAGCAACAAACATTATACAATTCAGTTCATATTGGCTATTTTCACCCAAAATCAAGTCTCCTTGAGGTACACATCGGACTTCCCCATCCTCCCGCATCACCCACCAAGTGCACCCAGGTCCCTGAGCAAAAGCAATCCCACGAATGGGTTTACCTTTGCCCGAGGTGGGAGTAACCCAGACTGTCTTCCCCATCATATTTTTTATGTGCACTACAGGGACTTTATCTCCCTCTAGAGTGCGTAAAAGTCTTGATTGGGCAGGGCCAGCTCGATTGGCAGATCCCCTGGGGTTGACTAACCAGGGGGCCTTTGCTTAATGTG